AGAGTTCCAGTTATGACTCAAGTTTAGTTGTTAGGTACTCGTTTTTATAGGAAAGGAGACGGCTTGATCGCAGCGCATCACACTATGGTTTTCCGTGCATGAGATCTTTGGGATTACACTCTGATATTGTTTTATGATAACTTGTTTTGATTATTTCTACTTTGGTTTTGACAGGACATGATATTATGGATCTTTTATTATACTGATGGTTTCTTTAATAACGTGTTTAAAAATGAAATTTTTGGTCTGTATTTTTGGGATGTTATATAATAATAACCTTCGGCCCTCGCAGGGGAATCGATACCAAATCAATAGAGTATCTCTTGTTGAACAAGTTCAGGACACACCAGCGATAAACCCTCGAAGAATTCATAGAACGATCACCAACAATCTCGAACTCCAACGAATAATCCAAAATCCTAGAATCATCACTAAACTTGTGACATCCCCAAAATATCAGCCAGAAAAGACCGATTTTCATTTATGCTTTTAAAATAAATTCAGAGTAAATCCATTGGATTTGAAAGAATTGCGGAATTTGTTCCCAAAAACAAAACATGATAAAACAATGTTTACCAAAGCATTTCATAAAAGAAATGTATTTTTCATTATATAATCAAAACACGGGGTGTCATGTTCCGATATAGACCAATAAGCATAAACGATAACATTACAAGTCATTCAACAAATATTTACATATACAGACTTGTAAACAAAACAACTTGATGGTTCATCCATCTTACGCCCTTGCGCCACTTCCTGTAATACAAATAAAACTGAGTGGGTCAGGCTTGGGAGCCTGGTGAGCATATAGGGTTTTTCAACCCACAATTAATAATTAAATTAACTATTATCAACCAACAATAACTCAGTTACCCATTCCCGTTATTCTCACTTTACGTCCCTAAAATAACTAACACAAGGGACCTAATCTAAGAATATTTTCATCGGGGTGACAACACATGCTGCGGGGGTTCCTCAGCAATATAAGTCAAATAAGGCAACCATGAGGGGGATGGAATAGAGCGAATGAACACCCAAGTTCATTAACACCTACAGGTTATGAGCCTGCTAGCGTTCCACTAGACTGTCTAGAAAAGTCTGTGGTCGTCATCTAAATTCCTCTAGATGACTGGATCAAAACAACAACGAGGCCTCTCATCTGTTTATTACACACCAACTATCTACCCATGTTCTACCCAACATATTAGTAGATAAAAACATACATTTTTATACATATTTTCAAAACCTGTATAGCATGCTTGATCAATACATTTTCCATATAACAGATGACGCACACACACATAACACGTATTTCATATAGAAATAATCAGATCTGTAAGATAGAAGAAAGTGAATATACATTCACACACATAACAACAAAATATACACATAACACGTATCTCATATAAAATACTTCATAATTATACGTTAGGAGAAAGTAACAACGCACTCACACGTATAAACAACAATATACTTAATACACTCAAACCATACTTGTATTATTATTGCGTTTATGAAAGGTAGTATACACTCACTTGATAAGAAGATGATTAGACAGCACTACGGCTTGCAAAAATAGTAATCCGCAGCAGATCTGGAAGATCTCTACAAAAATCGAACTTCTCGCGGGCAGAGCTTCGGCTCGGAAACCGCACTTCTCGGGATCTTTGGGATCTCGGGACTTGCTTCGGGACTTTTGAATATTACTGGGGCTTTGGGGTACTTCTAGCACGCAAATCGAGGTAAAACGGGAGAGAGAAGAGAGAAAATAGCAATCCTAAACGACTGGCCCTTCAAATCTATTTATAGGGCAATTTTGGCCCTTGCCATGTCGTGGCAACCTTTTTCCATGTCGTGGGCTTGGTCGTCACTGCATGCGTCATCCCAAGTTGCATCTGGGGGCCTCCCGGAGTGTCAGGACACTTTCCACGTCGTGGCACTGCTTGCCACGTCGTGGTCTCTGACAGTTTTGGGGTTTCGCGCCCCGAACTTCAGAAATTCATAACTTTCGCATACGAACTCCGTTTTCGACGTTCTTTATAGCGCCGCGAAGGTGAGATCATGATCTACAAGTCTCGTTTAGACTCCATTGGCTAATTTTGACTTTATTTTTAATATATTATAAGTATATTACCTATATATTATTTTTAGTAGGTCGGGACACGAAAACTCCGTTCGAAATTCATAACTCCTTCATCTGAACTCCGATTCCGTCCGTCTTTCCGTCGTTGCACTACTATCGATGAGATCTTCAATTCTCATTTAGATCACTAAGGATAGATATCTATCTACCTTAAATTCACTATTTACATCGCTCTGGGTCGTGCCGGTTCTGTCGCGAAACTTCGACATGTCATAACTTCTTCGTTATAACTCGGATTTCGGCATTCTTTATATCTTCGGAAACCTTGTTTTAACTACTACAACATTATCTAAAGATATCGAGTTTATTTTACACTTAAATTTTGACACTTATTTTTATTCTTAATTAATCAAACCACATAATTAAGCAATTAAGCACAAAACACATAATACTCAAATAATACACTTCTATTATTTCAAAACGAGTTACAAAGGTTAACCTAGACCATTACAAAACTTCTTGCTAATCGCAAGAGATTTAAAGGATCGGGTAGCACCCAAATTAAATAGAACATAAGCAGTCATACCATTGACTAAGAAAGTCCTTATACATGATCAGATTCAATATAAACATAAGTAAGGAAAGCAATACAAGAGATGTAACCTAATTGGCTTACAACAAATACAATTCATGGGCTATCTAGAATATGGGATAAATATATAATATACACTAATACACCCCCCGCAGTTTGAGCGGGATCACGAGAGCAAACCCTCAAACTGGACAAATAATTCGTAAAAAGTGAGATTAGGAGGCCCTTCGTGAAGATATTTGCATACTGATGACTAGAAGGGACATATAAGACACAAACTTGTTCGGCGGAGACTTTATACTGTACAAAATGTATATCAATCTCGACGTGCTTAGTTCATTCGTGTTGGATGGGATTAGTCGATAGGTAGACCACATTATGTTATTGCAATAGACAATGGTAGCCTTGGTCAGCGGGTAGCGAAGTTCCTGAAGAAGGTTGCGTAGCCAACATGTTTCGGCTACAACATTAGCTACACCCTTATGTTCCGCTGCAATGCTTGAGCGAGAGACAATAGCTTGGCGTTTTGAAGGCCATGAAATTAAGTTGTCGTCGAGATAAACGCAATAGCCACTAGTGGAGCGACGAGAAGCCGGACATCCTCCCTCCCCCATTTGCATCAAAGTAAGCAGTAAGGCTCGTAGTGGAGAAGGGGTGAATATAAAGACCATCATCCAGAGTACCCTGAATATACCGTAGAATGTGCTTGGTGTATCGCGGGGGTCATACATGTAGAGAAAAATCTGCTAAACAGAAAATACAGTATCTGGACGAGTGAAAGCCAAGTACTGGATTCCACTCGCAAGGTTACGATAGAGTGTCGGATCCTGAATAGGAGTACAAGTATGATCTAACTTAAACGGGTTTGGTCACCATGTTGAGGAGATATTAAGTTAGGGTTCTATAGATCCACATCTTGACAAGAGATTCAAGGGTGGACCATTCTTCATCTTTGTCTCCTTTTAGCTTTGATGTCCCGTCGAGATGACCATGCACACCAAACCCGGTACAATGGGTTTGGAAAAACTCTCCATAAATCATAATTAAGTTGATTCAAGTCGAGAATGAGCGGAACAAAGGCTTTGATGTTGGCAATGGCGTATGGCTTCATGTTTCCACCATAAGGGCTAGATGATTCACCGGTCATGATGGAGAAGAAGAAGAAGAAGAAGAGTGATCAGTGGTAGCAAAAGATCGAGAGGAGGGCAGCAACGACAAAACTAGGTCGATACCATATTGGAGTTATAATATTTTCCCGTAAAACATAACTTCATTCCATAAAAAATATATATATGTATATACATATTACATGTTTACAAGGGATGTAACCTAATGGGCTTACAACAAATACAATACATGGGCTAAATATATAATTTACATTAACAGTGAAATGTCAATATGTTAGACCCTGGTCTCCTAAGAAGCCAAAAAGAATAAATATTATGCTTCTATCTATTCTAACTTAGAATGCCACGTCCTTGATTTGATTAGGAACGAACATGCATCGTGTTTGTAAAGGATCTAACGTTCACCACATGGTTGCACACTTACTCGTTTAGATGGGCCACTTGTTCAATAAAAAAATAGGGACCATTGTTCCTATATATATCATTGATCTTATACATTGTGCATCGTAGTTCTAAATGTTGGGCATCGTGTTTGTAAAGGAATAACGTGGACCATGTGATTGGTCACTCATATATCAACATTGGTACTTCTTAATAGTTGTAAGAAAATGAAATCTTTTGAACAATTATTGTGTTTCTTCGTTTTTATAAATAACAGTCTAGGTTTTTTACTTTATCTTGCAAGGTTAAATCGAAAAGTGATCCCATTTTAGTAAATTGTCTCTTTTTTTTTTTTCAGTAAGATTATTGAAAATACAAAAAGTTACCAGCTATAAACCAAGACCAAAACAACAATGTGAAGAAACCGATGCCCAATTGAAAGAACAACCAAAATATGATTGATGATTGTGTTTTTTTAATTTTTATTTTTAGAGATGATGATGATCATCGATCATATTTATGTGATAAGTTGCCTCAATTGATATTTTTGTTATTATCTTTTTTTGCAAACTATTTGAATTCTGAAATTATGCTTATAAAAGATATTTTCAATCTATTTGAAGAACCTTTCACATTATCAAGTAGTAGATGAAAGCAAAAACACTCAATCAGCATCAACCAATTAATCATAAATAAATCTAATGAATTGACATAAAAAAGTTTCTATAACAGAGCATCTGCAATGAGCTTTTGAGCTACATAAGAACACTATATAAATTCCAATTCCTCATCTAATCTTCAAATGCATAAAGACAAACAATTGAAAGAACAACCAAAATATGATGATCATCATCATCTCTAAAAATAAAAATAAAAAAACACAATCTCAAATTTTTTTTTTTTTTTACTCTACTTTGATTCACCAGCCTCATAATCTTTCTCCAATCCATCCTTCAATAAATTTAACTCCTCCTCAGTCAAACTATGCTTAGGATGTGGTGGGCCACCCTTTGTAGCCGCCTTTTCAACCTCAACCGCCCAACTATATATCACCATGCCAGCAACCGCCACCAACATTCCAAGAATGTTCTTGAAAGTCAACTCTGAGTCAAACAACAGCCACCCTAAAGTCAACACACATACTGTTTTCATATGACCCAAAACCTGAAATGAAACTGCAGAAAATCTCCCAATGCAAAGGTACTGGCTTATGTTGCAGAAAACAGCCAATGAGCATGAAATCAGAATGAAAATCTGTCATCAATCAGATTAAATTAGACATATAATATTAATACTTTATACTTCACCAAAAAAAAAAAAATCAAAAAGAAACAAAATTGCTTACAATTGCACCAGAAGAAATGGTCTTCATGTAGTCTGAAATAAGTCTTCCACTTAGATAATAGTCAATGAAAGGACCAAATACAAGAAGTGATAGAGCTTGAATGGGAGCTGTTTTACTCAACAATTCAAAAGCTCCAACTGAGTACTTCTTCTGCAATGATCCTATAGACTGCATCATATTTATATATAAAAAAAGAAAATCAATATCTCAAGCTCATGAGTATAGATGAAATGTTTAAAAGATGATTAGAATTTAGAACACTCACAATCTGTTGCAATGAAGTTGCAAGAACTGCAACACATGCGCATATAAAACCTTTGGCATTGACTTTGACATCAGTCACAGTGCAAACACCAACACCAATCACCACAACCACAACAGCAACTTTCACTTCCTTTGAGTAACGTTTACTGTGAAGAATCCATTCCATTACACAAACCACTGGGATCATGCTAAGTTTGGAAATCTAGAAAAAGAGAATGAAGTTATGCATTGTGGGATTATGAAAGAATCTTTTGAATGATGTAAGAGCTTCATACTTGGTAGAATCCAACTGAGTTCAGCATGAGACTGAGGTTCATCCCTGTGATTGACATGTTTGCAACAATTGAAAACCAGAGAAGCTCCCATAAAGGAACATGCTTTGATGCAGTGTATCCTGTTGAGTTTGACACGAATCCAACTAGTGCAGTTACAGCAAAGTGGAATCCTGTTAATGTTGTGGCTGCAGAAAGCAAAATTGAACAGAAGATAATTAGTATAAACAGTATCATAGGAAATTAGGGGTGGAATGAGTCTGCCATTAGGTAATAATAGGGCAGATTATGATGGTGGTGTATCATAAAGGCAGAAGAACAAGAGTAACAACTAAAAAATTTAAGATCTGAAAACTGAGAGTAGGGAGTGAATGGAGATTTTCAAAGGGTTTAATTGATCTATAGAACGGAGATAAGTTTAAGCAAATTCTTGCATAATTGATGCAATGTAGACATTGTAAACACTTCAATTGGATATCGTTGTATTTTGAAGACCGAACCCTATAACAGGATTGCGTTCTGTAAAAGGCAATCATATAGCGTGGAAGAACAGTTAACCTAACAAAGTAAAACTAAGTTTAGGATTTAGGATCGTGCAAATTGATGCTTGGATGCAGCAGCAAATCACGGACGAATAGAGAATTCTCCACGGATCAATAAGATCACAGGAAACATATTGCATATATATACTACAGAGATACAGATATTCAATTATACCAAACGATCCATGCACACCCCTCTCCCAAGTCAGAAAACGATAACAGGAAGCAGATCTAAACAAACACCCAAATCAATTAAGGTACAGAGAATGAATTATGGATTGGATCTGAGGAATAGAGGAACAAGTGACTGACCGAAGGTGAAAGAATAGCCATTGGCGGACATGAGTTGCTTGTTCGCCATAATGATTCCCACAGAACTTATAACATTCATAGCCCATGCGCCCATATCCGAAACGGGGGAAGCTTTCTTCTCGCTCTCCATTTTCCCTCTTCTTACTGACTCGATCTCGCAAACGGGTATCAAGTAAATCTAAAGAAGGAGGGATAGAAGAAGAGGGAAGCAAGCAAAGAGAGAAAGAGAGAGAGAGAGAGAGAGAGAGAGAGAGAGAGACGTGAGAAGATTTAGAAACCCACCGACGGCAATTTCAATAAAGGTCCACACTCCAAATGGGGTGTGAATTGAATTGTGAATTATGAATTGTGAATTGTGAAGAGTGATGAGTAATGAGTTGAATAAGACCAGACCCACGACGATGACAGCAAGAAGAAATCAAGATTCCAAGGAATAACAGGATATCAAGCGATGATGCTGATGAATGATATATGCGGTGATCTAGTCTCTCAATCGATCGCAGATGGAGACAAGATCCATTTGGGGGAAAAAGAAATGGAAAATAGCTTGGAATGAGCTGCTGCCTAATGGACTCTGGTCTATCTAACATCTATTTCTCTTTTTTCTTTTCACCTTTACTAATATAGACTCATTGTTTACTCATCTTATTCACCCTTTTTGTGGCCACCAACCATGATTCATTATTGGTCCTTTTTTTTTTAACCTTTGATGTTACTATTTTAGTTCTATATATAATAATAAGGTTAATGTTTCTTTTTTAAAAAACTGAAATGAATTATATAAGATCACATGTAACATCCACCAAGTACTCAATAAATAGTTTGTTAGTTTTTATTTATAGTAAGGAGTTACTTAAAGTAATAATTAAAGTGATTTTTTCATTCATAAAGTTTACATTATGATGATAAATCATGTGCTAACTTATCAATTTAAGTTGCATAATGTTGAATTGTAAATTTAAGTGTCCTTTTTTATTTATAGTTTGCAATTATTTTAAAGTAACAGTTAAAGTGACATTTTCATCATCATGTAGTATTATAGTTCATGTTATAATGATTAAAAACTAATGTACATATAAAAGTGCATATTAGTTATAATCAAGTGAAAATATTAATGCTTTGTTCATTTTTTGGCAACAATAATTTTACAAAAGCAATAACATTGCTCACATATGGATTTTACATAATGAGGCGGGATGTTCGGATCACCATTGATACATTGGAGAAATTCTATTGATTGCTTTTCATGTGATTTAGGATCGACAGTTGTCACGTGTTGAAAGAAAAAAATAATAATAATAAACTTTGTAAAAGGAAGAAACGTATGTGAAAAAACATTCCACCCCATGATAGTCACGATGACACGATCATTGTGATACAAGGGCTTACAATCAATAAAGGGTGAAGATAGAGTTGCTAACATGAAGAATTAAAAAGGTTGCTAGCTATTTTCATAATAAGAAAAATAAAATTATTGACTAAAGATAAATTTTATTAAGATATTGTGTCGTGCACGTGACATATGATGTGGTTACAATTGTATCGGGTTAGCAAGATCAGGTTTCTAGGTTATATATCGTTTCAATCAATTGAAAAAATATAAGTTTAATGTTAAAAGTTAAAACCGATTTAACCAAACAAAATGTGTTTTAAAGAAAAAGAAAAAGAAGTGTTATGGTGACTGTTTGTGAGACAATTGTATATCAAGATAGTAAAAAAAAATTCAATAAATGATAATTTCTTGATTTCATGGATATTCAAATGATTGCTCAAAATACTATTGAAAGTGCTTGCTACCTTAAGCAACTATAAATGCACTAACCAAATGTTGGTTGTTGAAGTTAATACTAACAATTTATTGACACATGAAGTATTTATCATACAAAGTATAGTATGACACCCAAACACAAAATATTCCAATAATATAAAATTTGTCGAGAAATAGCCAAATACGTTAAGTAATAGATGATTTTCATGCAAAATATAGAATGGCATTGAAGCACAATAGATATTTACGATGTCAAAAATTTGTCTAACCATCATCAGCCATGGTTTTTTAGCTTATGACAAAATTTGGTATAATAGTGTTAGTTTGGTTAATGATATATCAGATGAAACATTTACAACATGTTTGTTTTTTTGTAAAAAGACAACTTCTGACTATTTATTATAATGATTAAAAAAGAAAGCGGAAGAAATAGAATGTAAATTTCATTAAAAATTGTTGACAAATTCAAAAAAAGTGTACTTATTAAAATTTCATTAAATTTTATATTATAACGAATTGGTCATTCTTTTAGCTACTGATAAAAATTTTAAACTCAAGTTTTTATGTTTATTAAAAAGAAAAAAATAAGTATTTAACTTTTTCAACTTTTTAAATATGCATCTAGCTCCTAACTAAAAACACTAGACCTTAAAGCAATATGTTTATTAATTGTTTTTATCAAGGGTAATTATATCTTTTCAATTTGTAAAGTTGTTTTTTACTATATATATTATATGCATTCAATAGAAAACTTAAGGTTGCGGGTAAAAGTTTAATAAATGAAAATTTTTAATTTAATTTAAAGTTTATCATTTTTTATTAAACATAATAATAAGTTATAAAAGTCAATAAAACAGTGTTTTGATTATATTACATAATTACTTTTTAATTTCTTTGACAAATCTTCAAACCATTACATATCAACCAAACATATAACAAAATCTAATTCATTTAAATTTAAACTCTTTTAGGTTTCAGAGATTTCATTTCCTTCAAAAATATTATCTAAATTTTGAATTAGATTTCAACTCCTTCATGCTTCAGTATTTCTTTCAAAAACATTATCTAATATTTAGATTCATCATAATTAATTGATTATTATAATTTCAAGTTGCACATAATAAATTATATTTAGGTAAAATAGTTTTGATTTGATTATCTATTACATAATCAGTTTTGTATTAATTGCAACAAAACAGATATTATCCGAGAGAAACAATAACTACAATATAACCCGTATTTCCCAAAATTAAAGATCTGTGAAAATAAACTAATATATTGATATTTCTATCATGAAAAGAAAAATGGAATTATAGGTGACAACTTTTAAAAAAATATCTATTGTATAAAATATGTTAAAATCATTATTATTACTATCAAGAAAACAACCTTTTAGACTTTGAATAAAAAAAATTCTAACAATATATATAAAAGATTTGTTGTTTTATCTAGTAATTTATTAAAAGGATAATGACATTGTTAGGTAATAAACTTTCATGAATTAGTTTAAATAGTCCCTTTTGTATTTTTCTCGTGTTCTAAGGGCATAAAATGCATATTGACCTATTTAATTGGTGTCTTGTTACCTGATTTAACCAGGGATAATGACTTAAAATGGTAATATATTTTTTGATTTATACACATTTGGTCACTAATTTTTTTTTCGTTCACATTTACCCGTTTAAGTAGTTAAATTGTACACATTTAGTCCTTATAACCGGCTACTCCAGATTAATCGGTAAAAATGACTTAATAGAATAATATATTTCTCATTTTGTACACATTTAGTCCTTAATATTTTTGTACACATTTAGTTAATATTTTTTTGTTGCAAAATAAGTCACTTTTGTTTTTGTACTCATTCAGTATTTATGAATGATTTCTTTAAGTTTTCACACAACATCTTACGTGGGACAATCATTAATGAGATGTCTTGGGGCTTTTGATGTTTATGTCTATCGCGATCTCGACTACTTGGTTGCTTAGGTCATGTGTTCTGAACGTCATAACTTCTTCATACGATCTCGGGTTTTAATGATCTTTATATCTATGCGTTCGTATTTTAGTCTACTACAGCTTTCGTTTAGATTACTCTTGTTAAAAAATAATATATTTTTACTTACAATCTTTATATCCATACTTTTTTTATGAATACATGTATCCATGTTTTTTTTATAAAATCATGAGTAAAAATATATTATATTTTAAAGGAAGTAATCTTAATGAAAGTTATAGTAGACTCAAAAAATGAACACATAGATATACAGATCGTTAAAATATGATATCATATGAAAAAGTTACGTCGTTCAGAACACAAGATTTAAGCCAAACCATAAGACTTATGCAACTAAGCAGTCAAGATCGTGATGGACATAAGCATCAACAACCCAAACACATCATCAATGATTGTTACACGTAAGATGTCGTGAGAAAACCTAAAGAAATCATTCATAAGTACTGAATGAGTACAAAAACAAAAATGACTTATTTTGAAACAAAAAAATATTAAGGACTAAATATGTACAAAAATATTAAGGACTAAATGTGTACAAAATGCAAAAATATATTACCCTATTAAGTCATTTTTTCCGGTTAATCTAGAGTGACTGGTCATAAAGACTAAACGTGTATAGTTTAACAAGTTAAAAGGGTAAATGTGAACAAAATAATAATAATAATAATAATAATAATAATAATAATAATAATAAAAATAAATAAAAAAAAAAAACTCAGTGACCAAATATGTACAAATCAAAAAATATATTACCATTTTAAGTCGTTATCTATTTAACCAGTTGTAGAAGGAATCCAACTAAATTCATTAACGTCAACTCACATTTCCTTCATCGTCTGTATGTTTCTTTCTAATCAAATTCATTGACGTCAACTAAAATGGAGGATGCTAAGAGTAAGTCTACCTCTTTCTTTTCTTTCTATTGCCTTTACTATGTACCTAAAAAATCTCCGTTGATATGAGTTAGGCATTGGAATTGATAATTCAAAGTTGAACTACTTTCACAATATGAACGTTGATGCTAAGATGAAACCCTGATATGAAACTTGTTGCAAACGCATATCTAAATCGTCAAACGTGTATTAAATCAATGGCAATGTTATAGGGAGCTGATTGGTACATTGGTACAAAGAGAAATCATAGACATATCAAACATCTATATTACCTTCAAACTCGTATAAGAAGCCACTGTCAGAAATATGGCCACCACACCCCTGCCTTGTGTCACCGTTGCCAACACACATTGCCATCGCACCAAAAAAAAACGTTGTCATGTTGCTCTCTATCTCCGATATCTTTCAATCTTGTGTCTCTATCGTACAAACAAGGGGAGATCGTTTTCCTCTTTTCGACTTTGTCGTCCCCATTGTTGGCCAAAATGGCCAAAGGCAGCTTCGTTCTTATCGCCTTGTAGACCGCACATTTTTTTTTCTTTTTTTGTCTCCTCCTGATCAGATTTCTAGAGGTAAAAGGGATTACTATGGTCGATGAGAAAGAAGATCATAAAAGGATTATTGTGCGGACCAAACTGCCATGTAGACATATATTGTGTTGAACAAACTTGCACATAGACCTATTGTGTTGACTAAGCTACCATGTAGACATATTATTTTGACCAAACTGTCACATAGACTTATTGTTTTGACCATGTAGCCCATACTACCAATTGGAATGCCACATCTTCTAAGTTATCAAGCTACCCGGTGACATTTTTGAAAGTGGCATTTTAACCCCGATAAAATGCACTTTGTGACCCTAGAACGCAAGAAAAAACCTAAGGGGTCATTTAAACCAATTCATAAAAGTTGGTTATCCAACAATAACCCTTTATTAAATAACCAAGATCTACTAAACACTCCCCTACACATGATATCTCAATGTTAACTTCCAAATCTATCGGATAAAA